CCAATGATTTGCTGTGTCATTGGAGACAGCTGATCACGTGCTAAAAGGCCGCTGTAATTGGCTTTTTACCATATCACATGATCAGCTGTGTCCGTAGGACAGAGTGATCACCGGCGGCGCCAGGTGCATGCCGCTGGGGCGCGCGTTCTGAAATGACGTTCATGGACGTCGCCCCGGGATTACACAACCACACTGTAGCCATCCTTCGGCTATAGCGTGGTTGGGAACTGGTTAAAAATATATTTAATATATATTTTTCTTCCATGTGGGTTGTGACCCATTAATCTGACACATTCAGCTGCTGCTTATATGTGTAAACTGAGACCCTGCAAAGCAGAGCTGTATATATAAGGTCCCTACATGCATAGTTACAAATAATAGAGCCAGTTTACCTACCAGCATGTCTTTAAAGTGTGGGAGGAAACTGGAGTACCTGGAAGAGACATATATACTGTATATCATAAAACTCTTTGAATACACTACTCTCAATGGGACTAGAATATAAGCACTTGTAATATATTCCTAAATTTATACTGTATAACATATGTACAATATAGAGATACAGCAATTGTGCTCTTCCAGTTCCCATAGATCAATGCCAGTTTGTGGCTTCTTCAGGACCATGAAGTTGAGAGGGTATCTACAGACATGGCAGCACAGCAGGAAGCAGCATGGAGGCCGAGAAGCAGAGGAACATGCAAGCATGACGGCCGTGAAACCACTACTACAGTCTACACAGAGAAAAAAAAAAAAAACTGGCTAACAAACACAATGTCTCCCATCCAGGGACACACAGAAAATAACAGGTAAACATGGGGGCATCCCGGGTGACCCTATCCTCATGTTTGCCTGTCCTTTGGCATGTGTCCCTAGACAGGACACATTGTGTTCGACGGACAGCGTTTTTCTTTTTGTACAGGTTAGCATTCATCGTGATTGACATTGGATCTGCTTTGGGAAACTTGTATTTTTTTTGGGGGGGGGGGGGTTTGAAGAAAGGACTTGTCCAAAACTGTCTGTGTGTCTTTTTTTCACTTTTGACATTTTTTTGTTGAATGAGCAGGGGTACTATATACCCCATACTCACTCACATGGGGAGGGGGCAGGGTCTGGGGTCCCCCTTGTAAAAGGGGATTTCACAATTCCAATAAGCCCCCTGCCCTGAGACTCCCAAAACCACAGCCCAGGGTTGTGTGGAAGAGGCCCCTGTCCCCATGAACATGGGGACAAGGTGCTTTGGGGCAGAGCCCCCCTCCCCCAAAACATCCCCCCATGTTGAGGGTATGTGCCATGGTATGGTACCCCCCCTTTCCTGCATGCTTGGATAAGGGTCTGGTATGCACTTGGGGCACCCCACACCATTTTTTTTTACATTTTGGCATGTGTTTCCCCTTAAAATCCATACTAGACCTAAGGGTCTGGTATGATTTTTGGGGGGGGACCCCAAGCCATTAAAAAAAAAAAAAAAATTGGCATGGGGTTTTCTTCAACATCCATACCAGATCCAAAGAGCTTAGTATGGATTGGAGGGAGGGGGGCTCCCACTTTGTTTTTTTTTTTTATTTTAAATGGAACTTCTTTTGTTTACACTCTGCTGTCAGCAGTTGTGCAAGCAACAGATGTACCAGTTAAAAAACATTTGAGTCATGGTTGTTAAGGATGCAACGGCCGTCCACTCCTTAACAACCACAGCTATTCATAACTAATTTGGATCAATTCGAAGTTATACTATGTCAATGACAAAACTTTTTGAATCCACCCAATATAACAAATATATGAACCGAATCCCAAAGGAACAAAATGAATGCCAAAAACAAACCAAGCCGGCACAAGGAAAACGAATAAACAAAATTATTAATATAAAGAATGTATCTGAAATTAAACAACATTTTCCAGCATGCCCATGTCTAGTGATCAGTGCTTCTCCTCTAACTATTGTATCATGTAAACTTGGTTCGTGTTTCTTCTGGATGTATTTGTACTCTAGTTCTATAATAGAAAGAATTGCAGAAACAATAAATCTTCAGGTGATTATTTCCTAATGCACAGTAAAACAGCCATTGAGTTGTTAAAGTGTAAATAAGTCACAGTGGAAATTCAGCCAAAATGTTTGGTTTTATTCATGGGAGAGTGAGAAATAAATGCAACCTGTCAGGTATTTTATCACTTTATATATATACGTATAAGAGGCTCTAGATCTCCTATCACTAATGCCTGGAATCATGAATGATCATCTGCTTTATTATTCAGCTGGATTGCTTTAGTGAGGCTGCTCCCATGTAACAAGTGTACCCCCAAACATGGGAGCAGGATTTATGAAAGATCCAAATATGCAGAGTGCAGTAAGGATGTCACGCTAGTGGAAATAAAGTCCAGAAAGATAGTTTATTGGATGAGGAGCAATAAAAATTCCACTGCGTTTCAGGGTCTTGCATACTCCCCTTTCTCCAGGGCGTCAGAAGATATGACAGTATTACAATATGCTGACTCTTCAAGCTGCACAATCTGCTGATGTTATGTCCTCCTAAGAGATCTATAGATATTTTAGAACTGTCTTTCAGGCCAGGCACTGCTGAAGTCATATCTTTCTCAATCCCTGAGGAAGAGGGAGTGTGCAAGCCTCTGAAAAGCATTGTTTTTTTTGCTAATCATTTATCTTTCTGGACTCTATTGTACTGTATATTTAAGTTTGTTTTTTTTTAATCACTGTCTCTGTCCTCTCGTTTCCTTTCCTGGAGACATTAGAAGAAATAGTGAAGTTTTCCTAATAGTGAGGCAGACAGCAACACAACACTACCAGAGGTGTAAACCTTTCCTGTTCTACCTATTGAGTACTGTACTGTCCCCTTCTTCAGAGTCCAAACAGTACTATTACAAATCACAACGTTTAAGAAGAATGTTAGAAGGGATTGAGAAAAAAAAAAAAAAGGCTACAGAAAAGATACATCAAGAGCGAGGGGGGGAGGGGGGGATACTACACTCACACAGAGGGGGTCAAGCTTCAGCTAATAGATAGTCATAAAGCTGTCGGATAATGGTTGAGGAATCCCATGTCCAAGTTAAGGCGTTATCTTTTGTGTCAAATAGAATTATCATTCTTAGTTCAAATGTTTTTCTTTCCTGGATAGATTTTGAATTTTCCTTTCAGAACCAAAACATTGAGGTCTTACATTGTGTGGCCTGGTTGTGTGAAATGTTGTCCTACAGGTGTGCAGAGGTCATCTTCTTTAAGTTCCTTGATGGTATGTCTGTGCAAATTCATCCTTGTTTGCAACTTCTGTCCTGTTTCACCAACATAAGATCCTTTGCTGCATTTGCACTAATACGGCTACAATCACCTCAAGCTATTCTATAAACTATAAAATTGCTTTACTTTCCATCTTGATAACACAACAGGTCATAAATGTCTGTTTCCCCAACAGTGATGGTAGTAGAGGTTCCAACCCTACAGAATGAGAATCTTCACTAGCATACCTTGGAATTTGGAGGCCCCCAAATGTAGGCCTGTGATGCCAGTTGCTTTATGTGACTAAAGGACAAGAATATCATTATACCAAGTTGTGCCAGTGAAGATCCTTTTTGTTCTAAAATTCCAAGGTGGCTCACCATCCACCATGCAGCACCCTGCATGAAGACCAGCCTGTAAAGTAAGCAATGCATGCAATACAACTTCTTAAAGGTTCAAACTCTTCACCATTGTAGTTGGAGCTCCACTTCAACCATTTACCACTACTCACGTCTCCTTTTCTCTACGTCAGATCAGTCTACAATGATATATATATATATATATATATATATATATATATATATATATATATACAGTGAAGGAAATAAGTATTTGATCCCTTGGTGATTTTGAATGTTTGCCCATTCACAATTTTTAATTGTAACACTGAGAGACAAAATAGCAACAAAAAATGCAAAAGAAATGCATGTCTAACAAATGATGCACTGATTTGCATGTTCATGAGGGAAGTAAGTATTTGATCCCCTTCACAAAACATGACTTAGTACTTGGTGGCAAATCCCTTATTGGCAATCACAGAGGTCAGACGTTTCCTGTAGTTTGCACACATCTAAGGTGGGATTTTGGCCCACTCCTCTTGGCAGATCCTCTCCAAGTCATTAAGGTTTGGTGGCTGACATTTGGCAACTCGAACTTTCAGCTCCCTGCACAGATTTTTCAATCAGATTAAGGTCTGGAGACTGGCTAGGCCACTCCAGGACCTTAATGTGCTTCTTCTTGAGCCACTCCTTTGTTGCCTTGGCCCTGTGTTGCTATTCTGTCTCTCAGTGTTACAATACACCTACCATTCGATTTTTAGACTGATCATTTCTTTGTGAGTGGGCAAACATTCAAAATCAGCAGGGGATCAAATACTTATTTCCTTCGCTGTATATAAGGTGTGACAATTTGCACATGACATAGCCCTTTGGTTCTAACTTGCACTCGCCTGGGTCAAGGACCAGTTGACTCAGTTTTTCCACAGTAGTAGAAGAAATAACACGTGTGTGTATTGTGTCGTTGGCAGAAAATGAGTGACAAGAATCTGGAGCAGCGGATTAACATCAAATTTTGTGTGAAAAATGGCAAAAGTGCAAGTAAAACTTTATCTCTGTTACAAAATGCTTATGGTAAATATTTCATGGAGAAATCAAATGTTTTCAACATAGGCGGAGAAGTGGGCAGCCAAAAACACAAAGGATGGATGCAAATGTGGAAAATGCAAAGGTTATGGGAATCTGTTTGCAAGAAAAGACCAGAACTCTTGCCTGACAAGGCCCCACCTGCACATTATGCATTATGTTTGCATGTTCTTGGCCCAGAAATCCATTTCAAAACTTGACCAAGCACCCTGTGACTTTTGGCCATTTCCAAAATTTAAAAATGCCTTAACCACCTCCCGCCCGCCATATAGTAATATGACGGGTGCAAGGTGGTTCTCTCGTTCTCACTGCGCATGCTCGGCTCAGGGAGTGCACAGCGTGGCGATCGGTGGTGTGCTGTGTCCTTCGGACACAGCGGATCACCGATCATGGAAAGAGCCGAAGACGTCAGCTCAATCATGTGATCAGCTGTGTCCAATCACAGCTGATCACATGTAAACAGGGAAATGCCGGTTATCGGCATTTCTCTCCTCTCAAGCTGTTACGCTGACAGCTCGAGAGGAGAGGAGAGCCGGTAATTGGCTTTCCGCGGAGGGGACATGTACACTGATCATCAGTGCCCTGATGATCAGTGTGCCCTGATGATCAGTGTAGCCCCAGCAGTGCCACCTGTCAGTGTCCATCAGTGCCTTATGTCAGTGCTCATCAGTGCCTCGTGCCAGTGCCCATCAGTGCCACATATCAGTGCCTACCAGTGCACATCAATGCCACATATCAGTGCCCATCTGAGCTGCCTTTCAGTGTCACCCATCAGTGCCAGTCAGTGCCACCTATCAATGCCAATCAGTGCCACCTATCAGTGCTGCCAATCCGTGCCACCTATCAGTGCCGCCTATCAGTGCCAGTCAGTGCTGCCTATCAGTGTGCATCAGTGCCACCTATCAGTGTCAGTCAGTGCCACTTATTAATGCCAGTCAGTGCCGTCTATCAGTGCTGCCTATCAGTGCCATATATCAGTGCCATGTATCAGTGCTGCCTTTCAGTGCCCATCAGTGATACATGTCAATGCCCATCAGTGCCACCTACCAGTGCCTCCGCATCAGTGCCCATCAGTGCCACCTATCAGTGTCCATCAGTGCAGCCTATCAGTGCCCATCGGTGCAGCCTCATTAGCGCACATCAGTGAAGGGAAAAATCACTTATTTACAAAATTTTATAACAAAAACTAAGAAAAAAAATTTTTTTTCAAAATTTTCAGTGGTTTTTGGTTTGTTTAAGAAAAAAAAAAAAAAAAACCCAGAGGTGATTAAATACCACCAAAATAAAGCTCTATTTGTCACAAAAAAAAATGATAAAAATTTCATATGGGTAGTGTTGTTTGACCGCGCAATTGTCATTCAAAGTGCAACAGCGCTGAAAGCTGGAAATTGGCCTGGGCAGGAAGGGGGTATAAGTGCCCTGTAGGCTACTGGTTTAAAAAGGACACTGATTTTATGACATCCCGCCACAACAAAGATACTGGGCAGCCTCCCGAAAACGAATTCCAGGAATGTTTCCAGCAGTGGCCCAGTTGTCTTGAAAAAGTCTGTTGCTTCACAAGGGGACTACTTTGAAAGTGACAACAGCCTCTATCCTGTATATATTTATATGTCCTGCAAGACAGTGCTGGAAGGGGTGAGAAGGACTTAGCAAAAGAGCATATTCGTGTCATGATTGATATTCTAGGTACCTGACTGTCATGTTGACCCTCTGCCTCATACTTTCCCTTACCCAGAACAAGTGTGCAGTCATTAGAAAAAGGTTAGTAATGACAAGTCTCCGTATATATTTCTTTGTCATGAAATAGATTTGTTGTCAAGATAGCATCAGTGTTTGGAAATGTTTTTTTTAAAGATTTATAGTGGCGAAATGTATTGCAACAACTCCAGAAAAAAATGGTGTATTCCTTGAAACCACTCTTTCGGTTCTATTAGACATTCTGCTTGTATAAGCTGGAGGATAACACAGAGCTTAGGATTGGCCGCTTTAAGCTACAAAGCAATTTTCCTTTGCTCTAGTAAATATTCTTCAACATTGTCAGTGACTGCTGTTTTACTTGTAAATATCCCGAACAAATCAGCCTTGAAAACAAATCTAGTCATATTTATATTGTCTGTTTTTATCTTGTTTGATGACTCTTCTAGGTAATGACTTTGGAACATTAGATCAGCTTGGCCTCACACACATATCTTGTCATTATGATTCACACTGCGGTTACATTTTTGCTGCTTTTCCCAGAAATGCCAAAACAGCACATCAGGAATTTGATTATCTTAAAATCTACTGAACTACCAGATTCCTGCTGATTCATAATTTCACACTCCGTATCTTCTTAGAACAATGTTGGCTGAAAAATAAAAGTATGCTAAGGCTTAGTTTAATTTATGCAAATATAATACAAATATTTAAAGAAGTAGATCCAAAAACAATATTTAATTTTGTAAATGCACCGTCACTTCAAATTATGAACCAATAAACAAGGAGACCTCTCAATTTATCCTACAGGCTTTAGCCACATAAACTAATATTATTAATATCATAAATTAAGATATTTTTAATTATCCAAAAAAAAAAACCCCAAAAACTTGTCATAAGCAAAATATGTCGGTTATCATAACTTCCCCAATTATTTTAGTTGGCTTCCATGGTGATAAATTGGTTTTCATTATTTCAGAACCCCTGAGCAGGAATAAGTATAGAGATTAGAAATTCTGACTTTTCTCTGCATACTTGCTCTGGGTCTTAAAATATAAATATTTAAAGAAGTGGATCCAAAATCATTGTTTAATTATGTATGTGTACTAACATCTCCTACAAATCAACTAAACTACTTTTTTCTTTTATAGAATTTAGAATGTGTGATTAATATTAATATCCTCAAAAAAGATAATTTATCAGTATCCAAAAACAAAAATATTACAAGAAAATTATGTAGGTTACCATAGCCGACCTCTCCTTCTCTTTTTCCTTGCTTCCATGCTGATAAATTGCTTTTTACAATTTCTCAACCACTGGGCAGGAAGAAGTGGACAGATCAGAAAGTTTTCTCTGACCTTCATTTGCACCATGCTCGTTCTGGGCTGTAATATACCAATATTTGAAGAGGTGGATCCAAAAACATCATTTAACTATGTAAGTGCACCAACATCTCCTTCAAATCATAAAATAATATACAAGAACATTTACTTTTTTATCCAATAGAATTTTGGCACATGTATGATTAATATTAATATCATCAAAAAAGAGAATTTATCAGTATCCAAAAACAAAACTTTTTGCAAGAAGATTATGTAGGTTACCATGGCTGACTGCACCATCTTTTTTTCAAGGCTTTCATGCTGATAAATTGATTGTCATCATTTCTGAACCACTGCGCAGGAAGAAGTAGAGAGATCAGAAATATTGGTTGTGATGTGAATGCTCTGTTTTTTTATTGCTCATGTGGATGCTCTTTCTTTATTCTTTCTCTCCTCCCTTTCCTTTCCTCCTATCTGGATTTTGCTTTCTTCCTCCTTTTTCTTATATCACCTATGTGTATACAGTTTGGAGGTCGGGTTCAGGTGGGCCCGCTCTTTCGGGTCTAATGTGAGTATAAACAGCAAAGAGCTATGCATGTCTAATATGTTTTGTTCATATACGACCAATTGGATCAGTAGCATTACCTCTCTACATTTGTTATCCTGATAACTTATACATATATTGGTCACGACCGAGGAGCCACTTTTGTGTTTTTGTTTCTTACTTCTTTGCAACTTTACGTATGTATGTATGTTATGGTGCTAAGAAAAAAGATGTACCCATTCTCTATTCTGAACCTGCACTGTTCATGTTATACTTGTGTTTAAAAAATCTAATAAAAACGATTTGAAAAGAAATGTTGGTTGTTCTCTGACTTTCATTTGCAGCACGCTTGCTCTGGGTCATAAAATACAAATATTTAAAAAAGTGGATCCAAAAACATCATGTAAACTATATAAATGCACCAACATCGCCGCCAAATTATGACCCAATACACAAGAAAATCAATCATTTGGCTAACAGGATTAACCTCCCTGGCGGTATGATTATGTCAGGAATTTTGTACCAAAAGCGGTACTATTTTTTTGCATGGAAATATGTATTTTTTTTATTGTAGTCCTGTAATTTAGGAATAACTCACTGAAATCTGCCGAACAAGAGTCTAGTAAACATTCCGGATATGATAAAACTTGAAACACGAAATCATAAATTATAATTTAATAAATACTCATAAAAAATAATAATATAATAATAAATTTAATTCAATAATATAATCAAACCAAAAACACTGAAACTTGAAATATAGCGCCAAGTTCGCACATCGCTGAGCAAAGTCGCAAAATCGTTTTCAGTGTCTGACGGTGAATTTCCCCACGAATCATTATCACTCAATTCTGCAAGTAGTTCTGCTTTACTATCGCTGTTCTCTAGCCGGTCTAAAACCGATTTTGACCTAAAGGGACGATTTTTGGATGCCGTGGACATTTCTCAGTTTCCAGCCAGAAAGAACAGTCAAAATGAAGGCAGGGCACAGGACAAAGCACTCGGGACAAAATGTATGTGAAATGCTTTGATACAGGAATGTTTTGCTATGAAATAATCGTTTTAAAAAAAAATGTCATTTTTTTTAAATTTTCAAATTTGCCGCCGGTTCCGGCGCCGTACGTCCCGACGTCACAGGGACCGGAACACGGAAGCCAGATGCCGGCATCGGCCGCAGGAGATGGCCAGGCACGCTGCAGGGGACACATCGTGGGAGCGAAGGACAAGGTAAGCGCTGCAGGGAATCCCTGAGCAACGCCGCATGGTAAGCCCTAGTGTAGCTCAGGGTTACCGCTTTTGGTACTGAAACTTTACCCCGAGCTACACTCGGGAATACCGCCAGGGAGGTTAAGGCACCATTTTAAATAATATTCATATAATAAAAGAAAGATAATTTTTAATAACCAAAAAAAAAAGAAAAATCTGTTATCTCTTTTTATTTTTGCTGTCTTGCATTGTGATAAATTCAGTTTCATAATTTCCAAACCACTGAGCAGAAAGAAGTAGACAGATCAGAAATTCTGACTTTCATTTGCAGCATGGGTGATAGTGATGGGCCGAACCCCCCCCCCCCCCCCCCCCCGTTTGGTTCATGGTCAAACATTAAAATCTACCGAAAGTATGACTGTGAACTGCGAACAGGGACAATTCACTAAGCGGTATTTATCACATCTGAGTATGCGGTATGATACTGCACAGCTACTAAAATTCTGCATGAGTTATATTATTAAGTCCTGCTATATTTTAGTAGTGAAGACATTCTTGAATGTTTCAGATTGTAAAAAGAATTACTGGTATTGCCCAGCAATTAAAATATTTTTAAAAAAATGGCTTTAAGGTTCCCCTTCAAAATCCATACCAGACCCTTATCTGAGCATGCAGGTCAGGAAAGGGGGGGGTGGGGCAAGTGAGCCCTCCCTCTCCTGAACTTTACCAGGCCACATGCCCTCAACATAGCATGTTGATTAGGACAAGGGCCTCTTCCCCACACCCCCTATGTGAATGAGTATGGCTTACATGCTACCACTACTCTTTCACAAAAAGAGAAGTGTAGTGTAAAAAATGACAGAAAACAGTCCATGACAAGTCCCTTATTAAAAACACAAATTGTTCCCCGAAGTAGATCCAATGTCAATCACAATGCCCGCCACCACCACCGACCTGAAAAAAGAAAAAAAAGCGCTCCGGTCTCGACACTGGCTCCCAGCGTTCGACTTCTAAGCTGGTATGACAGTTCTTAAATACTGCAATGATGTCAGAAGGGGGCTGGGTCACCCCACTCCCTTGTGATGTCATCAATGCTGTGATTGGCCAAAGCATTGCACCTGACCTGTGGGGGCGCAGTGCATTGTGGGCG